ATTCCAAGTAATTCATTATTTAAATCCACATTTCACAACTTGTTGCTTCACACCAGACTTAGTAAACGCCGGCCAATTTAAAGTTACTTAGCTCACTTTAGAACACTCTAAAGTTGCAGAGAAGATTCTTCTAGAAATACTCATTTTTCTTGGTTTATCTATTTTCTTGTTTTATTTCATTCACTTAGGATTTTTAGCTGTTTTTGAAAGTTTCAAGGAGGCTTTGAAGTAAGCATTTGATAGACTTTTAAAGTTAAATTTTCAAATAGAAGAGAGGTTGGATGAAGAGGGTCATGAATGTGATATTGGTAGCAATGTCTTTAAAAGTTTGATGCATGTTTGGTCCGTTATCTTATTTGACCCGTCAAAAGGAAAGATAAAATTCACTTGAGAAGATATATTTTTCTGGAACTAAACTATAGATACTATTTATCCAATGGCTTCCAGTAGATTCTGACTCAGAAGACAGAGTTCAACTGCCCGGTTGGTCTTTCACCATGTTCAATCTTTACGTGAGCCTATACCCTTTATGCAGTAGCAGTTGACTGTGTGGATCATAAGAACCTATGGGCAGACTGAAGGAGAATGGGAATTTCAGAACGCTCCATTGGGTTCATGGGGAACTTGTACATGGGCCAAGAGACAGCTGTGCGAACACAACAATGCAATACTGCATGGTTTAAAATCAGGAAACGTATGCACAGGGCTGTATCCTTTCACCATATTTATTTAATCGGCCTGCTGCTGGATTATATGAAGAAGGACAATAGCTCAAGATTTCAGGAAGGTTTTGAACAACCTGCCGTACACAGATGACACAACTCAGTTTACTGAAAATGAGGACTTGAAGCATTTGCTAGCGAAGATCAAGGATTTCGGGCTTTAGTAAAGATTACAACTCAATATCAAGAAAATAAAAATCCTCACAACTGGACCAATAGGTAGTATGATAAAAGGAGAAAAGCTCAAAGTTGTCAAGGAATTCCTCTTGCGTGGATCCATAATCAAGGCTCGTGGGAGCAGCACAAGGGTTCAAACGACTCATTGCCACAGAAAACACATGGTTTCCAAAAGCAAGGACATTACTTTGAGGATTAACGTGCACCTGACCCAAGCCATGTTATCTTCCATGGACTCATACGCATGTGACGGGACCTTAAATAAGGAAGACCAAAGAAGAGCTGATGCATTTGTATGACGGTGCTGACAAAGAATCTGGGAAGTACCATGGCCCAACAACAGAACAAACAAATCTATCTTGGAAGAAGGGCTGTCTAAATGGTGAGACTCTGGTTTGCAGAAGGCGATGATGACAGTGGGAGCCCAGGACGTGGTGGGGGGAACAACATAGGAAGTAAGCCTCTGGTGAACTCCCTCTATGCACAATTGAGGGATGGGAGGAAAGTGGTTCCTAAGCAGAGTGCACTGGAGGGATGAGTATAGATGATCAAAAGTATAAATCCGACTTGAACACTAAAACTGTCCGTTGATCCCCACTCTCAGGCATGCTAGACCGGATCTGGTTTTCAAAATTTTCTGTATTTTTGTTTTGTTTGTTCATATTAGGTGTATCTCAGAGGTGTAATGTCATTGAGGGGTACCCTCTTGAAGTTGTGCTATATGTTTTTCTGTTTTGTTGTATGGAAACCAGGACTGACGAATCTATCAGGGCAGCAAGTGGAAGAAGGGTTTCCTGGGGAGGAGTAACCGTGGTGGTAGCGGCGGAGGGAGTAAAAGGGAGACAATATCAAGGAGTCCAGGAAGAAAAGCAGTGTTTGGAAACTGTGGTAGCAATTGTACAATTCTGCTTGACATGATTGAACTATGGAATGATATGCTATATGTATTAATTTCCAACTGATAATAGATTTTAAAAATAACCTGAAAACTAACTAACTAAAATAAATGATGTTCTGCTTAGCTTGGCTGAAGAGAGGAGCGTGAGGGATGGGAATGAGAAATAAGCACTTTCAATTATTTAAAATATTTTTAATAATTTTCAGTATACAAGCTGAGGGTTTTCAACAAGAAAATAATATGATGAGGTATGTTTATAAAAGAGGCACTAAAATTTTAAAACAGTAACAGATTGGAGACATCATGAAGGAAGACAAGGAAACATTCAACCTCTAGATCATTATAAACATTCCCAGGAAAGTGGAACAGGAAATGGGTGATAGTATCTAAGTCTTCCAAGTTTGGTATTTAAGAAATGGAGCACAAAGGATTAGGTAAGTAATTAGATAGAACACAGTCAAGAAAGACCTTCATACCAAAGGGAGCAGACTGTGGAGGGGCGGGCCACGGAGGGAAGATGAACAGTAGACTAGAGAGTCAACATGTATGAACTTGGGTGAAGTAGTCGACAGTAATCCACAGGGAAGCAGGTAAGGCAAGCTATGGGGATGGGAGGGAGTTGAAAGCAGGTTAAACTGCTGACTTCAAATTGTATTTTCTGAAATGTAAACCCCCACCTAATTCACAATAAAAAATATTTTTCTGAAATAAAGGGAGAACCCGTCACAAGGTAGGATACATAGCAACCTCCCACCCCTCTTCCCGAGGGGGATGAGTAACAAAAATGTGAATGAAGGGGGAAAACAGACAGTGTAAGACATAATTTATAATAATAATATATAATCGATCAAGGATTCACAAGGATGGGAGGGTGGCGGGGGGAGGGGATAAAAGAGGAGCTGAAACCAAGGGCTCAAATAGAAAGAAAATGTTTTGGAAATGTTGATGGCAACACAAGTGTGCTTAATACGACTGAATCATGGATTGTTATAAGATGTGTAAAAGCCCTCCAATAAAATGATTAATAAATAAAATAAAATAATTGGGAAGAAACAGGCAGTTAAAGAGAAAGAAAGGTTACAAAGTTGTTTTAAAATAAAGTCTACTTAATTTTACTCTTTAATATGTGATGACATTTACCATAAGTAGTGTCTTATTCATGTAAGTAAAAAACCATTTTGCCAGTGGCCTGGGCCATTAAAAAAAGGACATTGCTTGCTTATTTTATACTCACTTACACAGAAGACATCCACTTAATTACTATGCAAGTAACCAAACCAGAATATCAATTTTATAGAAAAGCAACATTGCACATATTCAGTTTGCAATTATGATAGGCAATTTCAAAAAATAAAAACACTAAAAAAGTAGATCAAAGTGTATAATATTGATAAACCCATATAACATTCTAATTTTTTAGCTTATGGGGAAAAATGCAGTGTGCTTAAAACACAGATCAACTAAAGCTGCCTATTGACTTTGACAAAACAAAAATACATTTCCAACTATTTGAAACACTATTGTCCATCCAACCTAAAGCTGAACCAATAAATCAGCGATTATTGAGACAAGACCTTTGTAATGCAAATTTTTTCTACTTGTTATATTTTAAAAGGAAGAAGAAGTGCATAGAAGAAATATTCATATTTATTGTCGCCTCATCTATCAAAAATGTTAACATTTCAGCACATAATTACAAAAATGACTGATTTGAGCCATTCTGTATCTTTTTTTCTGTACTTCCTTGTTGAAACCTGCTGTGTATTTACACTGATAGCACATGTGGCCCGTCGTTCTCCTACCGGGCAGGTCAGCGCTGGAGAACCCGAAAGAAATACCCAGAGAGGTTTTGCTCTCTAACAGGGGTATCAGATGATGCCAGTGGCTACATGTGAAAAACTTCTTGAATCTTGTGCGTAGTACCAATTGAGGCAGAGAATGAAAATCACGAGAGAGTATCTGAAAGTTGAAGTTCTGATAACAGGAATCAACCGAACAGCATGAAAACGGGGCACACGGATTCAAAATTCCAAACGTGATTTTCAATCATCCACGTGGGCGGTTGCTGCTCGGTGCTCTGGAGTCAGTCCTGGCTCTGGGAGACCCTGTGACCACAGCCTGCTCCTCCCCATTCCTCCAGAGCCATTTGTTAATTGCTCATTGAAATAGCTCCTAGCAGCTATTTCATCTCGCAGCTTTTTGTTTTACACCAGTAGCTTGGTCAATCCACGTCAGGGAACCGCAAATCAGTTTCCATAGTGATTTAATGCTGTCTTCAGTTTATAAGAAAAAGGTTCCTATGTAAACAGCAGACATTTTGATTAAACACTCAAGTTCTTATTTTGACTGTTAAATCAATAACGGAGCTGGATTGAAAGTAGTTTACATTCCCTCAAAACCGGGCTTCGGTTCAGCTGGTGTTACCCTGACATCATTTTCCAACAAGAGCTGGCTGCTGCCAGCAGCCAGTTTAGAATTATCCACTGCAAATAACCACATAACTTTCCGTGTTAACACATTTCAAGGAGAGGGTCTGACAAATGCCAATGCTTAAAATAGGACAGTCCATCCAGAAATAGGCTCTCATCTCCTGTGTCATTTACCAGTCCAGGGGGTCAGAGAAAGGCTGTGGGCTTGGGCTTCACCTGAAACTCACTTTGGAAGGTTTCCCGCTGTCCTTTCTAGAATAGACGAATTAACCTGTACCTCCAGGCAACCGTTCTCGAATCTGTTTGGGTAGTACAGCACCTGAAAGCCATTGTGTTCTCTCTTACACAAGCTTCTCGTAACTCAGTGCCACGGAGTCCATTCTGGTAAATGCTGGTAGTCAGCCTGTACAAACTGGGAATGCGTGCATCACAAATGAAAAATAAGACTATTGTATGTCTCAAACCAGAAATCACAACTCTCAGGATGCATAACCGTAAAAGAAAAACAGACGAACAAGTTGCAACGGGCCATGTTGTCTTTCTCCTAGAACATTAATTTTAAGCTTGTGTATTCAGTGTCAGCCTGCAAAAATAAAATACTAGCGATCAAGTCCTTCCAAATAATTATTATTTCCTGTGAATTATACAAATATCACCAACAGTTCAGGTCATCAGCCAAACACTCTTTTCCAGCTGGCTGAACAGCAGTATTTTAGAGCCTATATTTAAATGTTACCAACTCAGAACTTTTACCTGTAGGACTTGATTCCTTACCTGTAGAAATTCTCGGACATTAGATCCCAGGACACGTAAGATTGTATCATAGCCAGATTCTTGACAAAAGACAAAAAACATCTTCCCGAACATTTGGAGGATTTCTCCAGCATTGAGATCTATTTTATAAATTTGAGAGAAAAGCATATTATAGAGACTATTGTCAATGAGAAGAATAAAATTAGGTTCATTCAAATAACTAAAACTCCCAATCTTTGTTGCTCATGGCATGGGTCGCATGGGACAGTGCGAAGCAATGAAGCAGGAAAAGATAACATCCAGGTTAACAGGACAAATTTGTACCCAGAAGAAAGCAATCCGTTTCTCAGTTGACAAGAGAAACCACTTAACTGGTTTTGAGTTTTCTAAAATATATATATTTCAGTATATTATTAAAAAAGCGAAAGGTATTTTTTAAGTCATACAAAGTACACATGACTGTTAACCCATTGTGGTGGTTACATAATTTCATGCCAACTTGATAAATAAGTGTGGTTGTGGAGTTTAGCCTGTGAATGTGGTCACAGCCTGAGGATGACTCCGTGTGAGTGCAGCCTTCTCATGAGGACTCTGACAATTTCTCTCCTTCTCCCTGGAGGCAGACCACACACTCTCTATGCTTCATCTTCCTGTGGAGGAGCCGCTCAGAGAGCTGGAGGAGCCACGTGGAGACCCACACCAGTGCTGAGATGCTTCCACTGCCACTGGATCTACAAGACTTCCCACCCACTGGCCTGTGGTCTTCCTTCGTTCAGCATGTGCTGCGTGAGTCTGAAAGGAGTTTATGGACTTATATCAGAAATAGGGGCTAATATCGGACTTACAGACTTGATCTGACTGGGCTGGGATGTTTTCTCAATATAAAATTGCTCTTTGATATAAATCTCTGTCTTACACACAAACGAGTGTCTCTGGATTTGTTTCTCTAGTCAACCCAGACTATCACGTATATTCATACATCTATCTTCTTATTTTTCCTCTATAAAAATATGTGTACTGAATATTTGGTAGCATGTGGTTTGTACTATAATAGTCTATTTTGTTCTTAATGCCTTCTGAATAATATTTCCAAAAATGATTAACTGTGTTCCATAACATCTACTTTAGTCATTCCATCATTCAGCTTATGAATGTGACAACTTATTTAAATAATACACTACTTAAAATGTGAGCTTTGCTAATGTCTGATAATATAGTAACGCTGTCCTAAACACACTTACACATTCAGCTTAAAGCAAAGAAATCTAATGATTCATAGAATTCAGGTTGCCAAATTATTCTCAAAAAGAGAATCTTAATTTACCATGAGCATAAAAGCTAGATTTCCCCTTTTGTTCCACCCTTAACGGTATTAGACATATCATTCAAAACCTGCCAAACGTTATCTCAATGTTCTTTGAATTTTTATTATTAATGAAGCGGAATATTTTTCTTCTTATTAGCCATATCCTATTTTTTTGAATTCTTATATTCCATTATGAGCATATTTACTTCTCCAGTTATATTTGTCAAAGTTAAAAACCTGCCTTTTGTAGTCCAGCTTCAGACTGCTTATAAAGTAAGTGCTATGGGATCAGTTTCAGCAGCGTTTTTAGAGCTTTCGCTCCTTTAAGTCTTTGAACTTGGCCTTCCTTCTTCAGCATGAACGCTAGCTGACGTAGATCTCAATTTCCTGTGGTCTCGACCAATAGCTAATAAAACCGTGGCTGCCAAAGAGATTGGAGTAATATTCTGTGCCTACCACCTTTACGTAATCACTGAATTTTTGACACTGGGATGATAGTTAGTGCATTAAATATCAATAATTATTTTTGTTCTCTAATAATGGGCTGCTTCCTGTAAGGAAAGAGAAAAGAGCCTGCTTTCCCTGAGAGCTTACAAGGAATAGAACTCAGCCTCGTCCGAATATAACCCTGGAGGTGGGTGAACTCCTGAACATGACTGTGAACACCCACCCTACACATCATACCCATGACCTGGAGCCATGCATGCTGTGGGCCACAGAAGGGAAGTCAAGGTCCACTTACTGAGAACTTTGCTTGCTGCGGCCACCAGATCGTACGTTTTGGAATCGTCATATATTATTCGGACAAGAAACTGTCCTTCTTCGTCTAACTGAGCCTCTTTCCTGGAAAACAAAAATGAGAGACCCTGGGAGAAACTGTTGAAATAAACCAATAGATAGTTACGATTGCTACTTTCACTACATGTCTAAACAATGCTTTTATATATGAAATATAAGTTTTGCTTTTGGGAAATTTGTTTAGACTAGCATCCGAAACAAAACAAATGCACTGCACCGAGTCAATTGTGAGTCACAGCAACACTATAGGATAGGGTAGAAGAGAGCTTCCCCTGTGGGTTTTTTAGACTGTAACGCTTTATGAGAGCAGAATTTCTCCTTGTGGTTAGCTAGCTGCCCAACACATTACCCACTATGCCATCAGGGCTCTATCAACATCATGTACCTAAAATATGTAGTGATGAAGAGGAAATTTAAGTCACACCACCCTCACTCAAAGCTAAAATGATAGATTTAAGTATGTTTTATCAAGATGCAGACACCGTTAATAAAATCTTACTTATACAACAAACAGTCTTTGAACTAACTACAAGCTTTTCTTTCTTGTTGCATTTTGTCATTGACTTGTTGTTGTTGTTTTGTTTTATTTTGCTGCTTGGTTTTGCTCTGTCTTGTTTTTGCACATGTTATTATTTCCACAGGTCAGTCAAAATAAGAGGCTGGATGAACAATCTGGAGGAGAAAACAATGGGACCGACTGTCCCACGGTGACATGGGAGAGTAGGAGGTGAGGGGAAAGGTAGTGGTGTTAACAAACCCAGGGACAACGGAACAACAAGTGATCCAAATCGGTAGTGAGGAGGGTGTAGGAGGCCTGGTAGGGCGTGATCAAGGGTAATGTAACTAAGAGGAATTACTGAAACCCAAATGAAGACTGAGCATGATAGTGGGACAAGAGGAAAGTCAGAGGATATAGAGGAAAGATCTAGGAGGCAAAGGGCATTTATAGAGGTCTAAATGAAGGCATGTACATACGGTATGCAAATATATTTATATATGAGGACAGTAGCGGATGGACATTGGGCCTCCACTGAAGTACTCCCTCAGTGCAAGAATACTTTGTTGTATTAAACTGCCATTCTATGATGCTCACCTTCCCGAAGCGATCGCTGAAGACAAAGCAGTTGCATAAGCAAATGTGGTGAAGAAAGCTGATGGTGCCCAGCTATCAAAAGGTTTAGCATCTAGGGTCTTAAAGGCTTGAAGGTAAACAAGCGGCCATCTAGCTCAGAAGCAACAAAGCCCACATGGAAGAAGTACACCAGCCTGTGCAATTACGAAGTGTCGAAGGGATCAGGTATCAGGCATCATGAGAACAAAAAATCATATCATAGTGAATGAGTGGGGGAGTGCGGAGTGGAGACCCAAAGCCCATTTGTAGGCCACTGGACATCTCCTAACAGAAGGGTCTCAGGGAGGAGACGAGCTAGTCAGGGTGCGATGTAGCAACGATGAAACATACAACTCTCCTCTAGTTCCTAAATGCTTCCTCCTCCCCAACTATCATGATCCCAATTCTAACTTAGAAATCTGGCTAGACCAGAGGATGTACACTGGTACTAGTACCAGCAGACAGGAACTGGAAATCCAGGGAATCCAGGGAGGATGATCCCTTCAGGACCAGTGGCGAGAGTGGTGGTACCGGGAGGGTGAAGGAAGGGTGGGTTGGAAAGGGGAACCGATTACAAGGATCTACATGTGACCTCCTCCCTGGGGGACGGACAACAGAAAAGTGGGTGAAGGGAGACGTCGGACAGTGCAAGATATGACAAAATAATAATACATAAATTATCAAGGGTCCATGAGGGAGGGGGGAGCAGGGAGGGGGAAAAATGAGGAGCTGATGCCAGGGGCTTCAGTGGAGAGAAAATATTTTGAGAATGACGAGGGCAATGAATGTAAAATGTGCTTTACACAATTCATGTATGTATGAATTGTGATAAGAGTTGTATGAGCCCCTAATAAAATGATTAAAATTAATTAATAAAATTTTTTTTAATCTTCCTTATATAGTATTCCAATAGTTAACACAATACTTGTCACATGGAATACAACAAAGAAATAACTTTTGTTAACAAGTAAATGTTCGGCAAATATGCGTGTTGTTAGCTACTGCTACGTCGGTTCCCACTCACAGCTACGCTGTGTACAACAGAAGGAAACACCACCGAGTCCTGCGGCCTCCTCACAATTGTTCTTATGTTCTTGTGTGCGAGCGCCCTGGTGCAGCTACCGTGTCACAATCTCTCTTGTTTTGTCGGTAGCGTCTCTGTAGACAGCAAGGAGCCTTCATAGCAATAGAAGGCAAGCACAAGACTTGCAAGGTTAGACGTTCAAACCCACCAGCTGCTCTTTTCTTGAAAACCCTAGAGATGGTCGCTGTGAATTAGAATCCACTTGAGAACAGTGGGTTTGGTTTTTGAAGTTTAGATGCGCGGTGCACTGTTCTAGGGGCAAGGAAGAACATTGTCAATAAAGTAGACCACAATTCCTGACTCTTGGAACATACATGTTCTAGGAGGGGAGATGCATAAGAGAGAAAATCAATAATACTTTAAAATGACTATTTAATAATAATGTTAATGGTAAGCACTGTGAATAAAATGGTAGCCAGCAGAGTAAGTGGGTGAAGAGGTTCAGGTCTCCCTGAGCCAGTGGCATTTGGGTCCGTCAGTAAAAAGTCAGAGCAAGAGTCATTGGGCACCTGGGTTCGGTGCATTTCAGGTGAGGGACACCGAGTCTGAAGGGCTAACCGGTGTGCTGGAGGAACAACAGACTGTGGCTGGCACAGGGAATGGGGACAGACGCTGTGTGGGAAGGTCAGACACATAGCAAGACATATTGTGTAGGCCTGGTTGGACGCTGAGCGTGACTGGCATTTACTTCAATGAGCTAGTGGGGGTGAGAACTTGTGATATGACCTCTGGTAGGAACTGACTCTGTTAAAGGGGAATTGGTCTGGAGGCTGTGCTCAGAACAGACCCAAGAGGTTGCAGGGAGATCAGTCAGGAGGCTAATGCAAACATTTAGATGAAAGATGCTTGGGTTAGCAGTGGTTCAAATCTGGATGCTTCCTGAAGGCAAATTCAACATAAGGGGCTGACCGAGCTGAGAAGAAGAGTCAAAGATGACACTATATTTTTTGGCCTGAGCAACTGGAGTCCTGGTGCTACAATTAGGTGACTTTGGAAATACCACAGGAGTGGACTACCTACTGGTGGGGTGAGGATGCAGGCCAGAAATCACTCACTGTCACTGAGTCAATACTGCTCATGGTGACACCCTGGGGGTTCCTAGCGTGTGACTGTTTACTGCAGCCAAAGACCCAGTCTGCTCCGGAGGACCTGCCCACGGGGGTCCATCCTCCCACCACGTGGATCCAGCTGCGCCTCGACACCAGCAGGGTTCCGCAGACAGGCAAGAGTTGTTTTTTAAGCATTTTGATGCTTTCCCTGCATCATCTTGAAACCAATTTACATGCATTTCTGTCGTAAATTGAATTTCTCTGAAACACTACTCATAAATGAGGTACAAACAAACTGCATAAGCCTTTTGTGCCAAACAGAGGAAAGGCCATTTCCTCAGAAATCCCCTCGCCATAAATCAAAGCATTCCATTCGTCCTTCTTTTCTCTTTCTTCTTAATAAAGTAAACTACTCTTGTTGCATGATTTCCTGGAGCCCGCTCTGCGCCCAGGGGAGGGCTGAGATATAAATTACCCAGTAGCACAGGAAGGAACTAGCCATATTCTCTTGGTGAGTCCTACTGGAATCCATCAAATTATTCGGAATACGTAGGACTCTTCATTTGTATTCATCTTAAAAAAAAATCTTTAGAAGCTTGGAGTCTCCTTTGAATTACACATTCATTCATGTTTTCCCTGAGGAGGATATTTATTAAGGACCGATTGTGTCCCAGAAGAAGGAGCCCTGGTGGCATCGTGGTTACCTTTGGCTGTGATCGTTCAAAACTACCAGTCGTTCCACAGGAGACAGGTTTTTTTTTAACTCCTGTAAACAGTTAGTCGTCGTCTGTCTTATGAGTCAATATTGACGATGAGAGCAGTGTGTTGGGTTTGGCTTATTATGTCCCAGGCAGTTTTCTAAGTACTTTCATCAGTGAACAAAACAGAAGTCCCTGCCCTCATAGAGCTTACATTAGCTGGCAGAAATACGCATATAATGGAAATGTATCATTATTGAGAGGAAAGAAGCACCGCAGGATAAAAGGAAAGGAAGTCGAGGTAAAAGTTGAAGGGGCAGGGTGCACCAGAGTATTGATCATGGTAGACTTCACTGTCAGTTATCTCTCTGGCCCAGTCCCCTGCTTTCAGTAGACAATGCTTTGCTTTCTTCCTTTTGCAAGTGGAAACACTGATTACATACGACACCTCCTCTTTCGCGTGAATTGGTTTAATAGGTTTAACAGAACAGAGGAATTTTCTGTGCAAAAGAGAAATTTTAAGAAGTACTCTCACAGAGAAGATTGTACGGCAAGATGGCAGGTGAAGACGCAGGGATTTGGGGTCATCAGAGCCTTCTCGGTGCCTCTGAATTCACACCACTCTTTTTTTCTGAATGATGGACAAATTTGGGAATGTCAATGAAAGATAAAATTTCTCACTAAAAATTTCTCACATCTAAAAAGGTAGGAGTTGTGGAACCACTGAAATCTCAAGAACTCCAGGTAATCGTTTCCCGGATGTCTAAACCCCCAAAAGGAGGTTTAGCTTGAAAGAGCTACCAAATGAAAGGCAGGAGCCCTTCACGTTAGTGAGAGTTTCTGGCTTGGATGCTATTTTGATCGGTTAAAGGCAGACCTTCCGAGTGAAGGTGTTCGTTCCTGCAAGTGGTAGGTAACCATAAGTACTCTCATGCATGACACACGTACCTTAGTTGCAGACAAAGCAGCATCACGATTTGGAATCGCAAGCTTTCTGGCAACAGTGTGCAGCTTGGAATGAGGGGCTTTAAATAGTAACGGCCCCAATTCTGAAAACACATCCACCAACATTTGAAAATAAACAGATTTAAGTAGCTCCACCA